ACAAGCCGACTACGCAAGGCTCTTCTGCCTTGACTCAAAAAGTATTTCTAAGATGAAAAACTTGGGAATGACAAGATACATTCATGGAATGTAAAATCTACAGAGATAGATAAAGATGGATGTTAAAGTGTTACAATGTTTATGCATATATTGACAATGTCTTGAAAGAGATGAAGATACAAGATTCCTTTGGAGGAATCTTCACATTTCCACATGGCATTAATTTTGAGCTAGATACAAGATTCCTTTGGAGGAATCTTCACATTTCCACATGGCATTAATTTTGAGCTAGCCTCAAAAGGACCTATGACATAAGTTTGAGCTAGATAAAATGATATGTTTGTCTGACAAATGAATTCATCATTTATGCCATATTATATACAAGACTAGGTATATATGGTTATGTCGTAAACATAGCATAAGATACCAATTGGATATATAGGTACGTTATTGAATGACTATAAGAACATTCTAAGAGTACTTAAGAAGAACTAAGAGAATGTATATGATATAATTAGTTTAGAAGGAGATCTTTACGTAAAGAGCTACACAAGATGCTGACTTCAAAATGGATAGATATATTTATCAATTATAATTAGATAATGAATTCGTTATGGAATGAAGAGTAAGTTTCGTAGGAATGAGGTCTAAACAAAAATAAATTACACATTCTGTTACATAAGAATACACTACTTCTTCTGAACTTCTAATTAAATATGATTGGATGAACTGGATCATTGAAAAACTAGGTTGAGTCCTTCCATTCAGGGATAACTAAGAAATCTTTTGTGACTTATAGAGTATACTTAATCAAGCTAAGAAACTCCATGTTACATCAGAACACTAATCATATTCTACAAGACATTAGACATTTATGTGACAATCAACCTTGGTTAGTTACTTTAGCTTAAAGGAGTGAATCAACAAGATTCTTTTAGTTGACTACGATGTCCTTAGAATCATGATGGTACTTACTGAGTATTTACCATGTGATCTTATGTGACTTGGGATCTTTACTCAAGGTAAAGTAACCTTTTAGTTACAAGAAACTTCAAGAGAACCATCAATTATTGAATGCAACAATGGGGTCACCAATGAATTTATTTTAGTCACATGTTTTGTCTTTATTGGAAAGAGTGTCCAAGGTCATTAACTATTGATAATATTTCTAATAATGACATGGTCCTTTTGGGTTTCCCTTAAGACCCAAATTGAGTAGAATAAAACAAAGAAGAAATTGGTTTATTAATTACTATAGTTAACAATTAATTAGAAACTAATTGGAAATATATTATGGAAATTAATTAACAGTTTAATTAATTAAAGGGTTGAATATTCATTAATAAATAGTTGGTTAACCAGGAATGTTCCAAAATACTTATGGAATTAGGGTTGGATGAAAATCACTCCATCCTACATGGGAAAGGGAGTGGATTTCGTTCTAGACATTCCATCCCACATGGGATGGAGTATAAAACCTAGGAAGGGATCCAAGCCTATAAATAGGGCCTTAGGATTTCATTCTTCCTTGCTCATTGGCTTGAAGTTTTGTCAACACTTCTTTCTTTCTCCATAGGTATGATTTCTAACCCTCTTAGGTTAGTGAAATTGACCATTCTCCTAGTTATTTTATTCCACTCTTTGGTGTCATTAGGTATGATACCATTAGAGGGATTATGGTTTGGATCCTCTCATCTAAGCAACTTTGTGGAGGACAAGATCTCAAGCATGGAGGTCAAGGGCTACATAAGAGATATGTTTTCTTTTTTATGTTTTATGTTTTCATAGGGTAGTTGTAAATAGTATGAAGCTATAGATCATAGGGTGCATGTACACTTAGGTATATCATAAATTGATTTTTCCGCTACCTAGTTTAAGTGTATTTGATGCGTAGAAAACCCACCAGTCTTTGCATTTTAACTTACTAAAATATACTCTAATTATCAAATTCACTTAGGTGTATTACTTGTACTCTTCCAAGATAATACTTTATTATTCGTTAAGAGCACAAATTCCTACTGCTAAAAGAAAATGTCTCCATCAGTAAGGAACTCATTATTAATGTAACTATTTCATTGATTTTTTCCAAACTAACAAGATTATTCAATTCATCCTTTTAGGATTCCAAAGAATATTCTTGATTCTTGATTTATTAATTATAGCCGAAACAATCTTATATGACTTGTCATTCACAAGGCATGCGAGTCATTAGATTTACAAGCATGAACTCTTTAAGAATTCTTCATCTCGATTTTCCTCAAGATTCCAAGTATTTTCCTTAAAATAATGAATTAATTAGATCTATCTTAATAGAATCTAAGTTTACTTTCTTGTTCTTCCCATGTGTGTCATAGCGAAATTTTTTCTAACATATGTAATTTGATTTCATAGCAATAGGAGATTTATTGAGTTTGACCTTGAGCAAAAAACGGGAGTTCCCAAAGGTTGAAAGATCATAAACATGAGCTAACTCAGCTAAACCTATCCCTAGCCCATTGGATTGGTTCAACTGATCAATCCAAAGCAGAATCCTCCAAATTACAGGCATGGTTTGGATGTATGAGATCTTAGTGATTTTGAAAAACTCAGAGATAATTCCAGAGAAAGGGTATTTCAAACTGAAAAAATGGGTATTTAGGAAAGCATACCCAAGAAGAAGAGACGAAGTTCATTTGAGACTTGACATCAAAGGCTTTGAAAATGGCATTGGCAAGAAAAGCTCCGTCCGATTTCAAAGATTTGATATCCTCGTCGTCAAAAGAGTAATTCTCATCATAAGACAAAATGTTCTGATCGACGAAGTCTTCGCCAGAAGGGGTCGTGATGCTAAAACGAGAACAAGTAATCTTCTTGCCTATGATCGAAGGATTGAAAAAATAAAAGAGAAGGAGTAAGAGAGGTACCTTCAAGAATAGTCAGTGATGATCAAAAGGAAGCACAAGGAAGTAATTAAAGAAAAGTCCTCCACTATTTACCCCGATTTATCTTGGTAGCGGATGAAAGAGAAGTAATTTGACCATATCATCGTGAGCATTATATCCGTTAGAATTTGAATTTCAAAAAACTTATCTATATTTCAAATAAAGTTATACCTTTAAATATTCAGAATTAACTTAAATATTTTGCAGGTATAATTTGTGGGCAATTGTTAGTGCCAAGATCATCAATCCTATCTAGGATCCCGGATCTCAAAAATATCTAAGGATCCTGAAACATATTCCAGGATCCTGATTATTATTATTATATTATTATTATTTCCTAACAAAATTTAATGGGTATATTTCTTGTTTATTTCTCACATGTGCAGAAACGGTCAAGATAAGACTCATTCTCAATGAAGAAACATTTCAATCAGGCTTAAGAACCGGAAATACCAAGTCAAATCAACGTGTTCATACTTATTCAAGACAATCTCGAAAATATCATACTTTTAGTTACTTAGACTAGACTATAAATACACATGCACTATGCACACTACACACAACTAGACTTACTGCAACATTTGAACTTGTATACTTACCTGCATTTCTATAACTCAAAATTCAATCAATTCAATTAAACAAGGTAGATGATTATTATCACCTCCTAAGGTTTTATGTCGGAGATCCTAACAAGAATCAAAGGTTTTCCTTGTAAACCACTTTTGCACTTTTGTTCTCAATTCGATACTTATTTCAACTACAACACCACAACCTCTCATTCATTTTGGTTGATATTCATTTGATTGATTTTTAACCAAAAGAGATATTTTCTAACAAAGTTGTTGCATCCGGAAGGAATACTTCCTCATGAATAAATATTTGAAATATTCATGTTTAACATTAATTGTTTCAAATTAAGTATAATTTATTAGATGAATCATTTTATATGCGTTTTGCAGTTAGCATGTATTTCAAGTTTAGATACTAAACCATAATAGGAGTGGCATTAACAAGTTGGATACAAACAAGACATAATCTTTTGTATCATTGTTAATACTTGGCTTTCATTATGTTTGTGATATTTTTGGTACACCCATTTGTATGTTTTAAGAATTAAAGTAATGGTTTTTGTTAAACGTTTTTGATATCTACTGTATAATATTGCTATAAATTCCCAATATTATTATTTAAAAATGTTTAATAAAAAAACGATGTTACAAGTTATTTTTAGTTTTTTGTTTAATTATAAATCATCTTGAAAAGACAAAAAGTTGAGAAATGTTATATTTGTAACATTATGTGGATGTTTGAGATAGCTGTTAAAAAAAGCTTATTAACTTTTTAAAAAGCTAATAAGTTAAAAAAGTGTTTGTCTATTTAAAAAGTGCTTTTTAAAACAATTTTTTGGATAGGAAAAAGTAAAGCTGGAAAATCCTAGTTTTTTTTAGTTTTTTAACCATTTTACTCCTGAAAAAACAGCTTTTCGCATCCAAACATTTTTTAAAACCAGCTTTTCCTAAAAACCATAAGCTAATAAGCACTTTTCTTAAAAATCAATTTTGACATAAAAAAAAGCTAACTCAAACATTCCTATATAGACTTATCCTTACTTGTTTAATTAATGTAATGTTTTCCAAACTTACGTACCATTTATGGAAATTTCTTAAGAACCATAAGTATATTGTAGTTTTTTAAAGGGATAATGCCTTGATAGGGTAAGATACTTTTTGAAATGTACACATTTAGTCCTTATTTTTTTTTTAAGTAAAATAAACCCTTATACTTTATTAATATGTACACATTAGGTCCTTTTTATTGGATTCTACAGGTTTTGCTGACGTGGAAGAGTTTATTTTACAAAAAAAAAAGAATAAGGACTAAATGTGTACATTTCAAAAAGTATCTTACCCTATCAAGTTATTTTCCCTTTCTTTTATTTTGTTGAAATGAAATACCCAAGTGACATCCACATATCAACAACAAGATTTTTCCAACTTTTATTCATCATGAAAAGAGGGAGAACCCTGATCTCCGACGACTCCTCTGTATGTTCCTACACATCATTGGTAACAAGAAGGAATGATAACAAAAACAACAAGGTCGAAGGGAGAGGCAGGAGGAAGTAGAGACGGTAGTTGGCAGCGAGGAGCTGCTCTGGTAGCACCCTCGTCGATTCTTTCTTCTTTTTCTAGCAACATATCTCAAAGATGGAGGCAAATAGAGACAAATCGGAGAAACACAACAGGTAAAGAGTGTTTGGCTATTGCTGTTCGACCGGAAGAGAGACGAAAAAGAGAAGGGTCGCCGCCCTTTTCTTGTTGCTGGAGGATCACCCACCTCCTGTGACTAAGCTAATTAATTACTATTTTAGTGCCACTTATGCTTCCACATCAGAAGCTAATTAATTGCTATTTAGTGCCACTTATGCTTCCACATCAGAAAAACCTGTAGAATTCGATAAAAATGACCTAATGTGTACATATTAATAAAGTATAAGGATTTATTTTACTAAAAAAAGAATAAGGACTTAATGTATATAATTCAAAAAATATCTTACCCTATCAAATCATTTTCCCTAAAAGAAAATTTGTATATAACTGGTATATCGGGTATAGCCGATCACAAGGATTCCATTGTTACAAAAAATAAAATATAAGGATTTATTTTACAGGAAAAAAAAACATAAGATATACATTTTAAAAAAAATATCTTACTATATCAAATCATTTTTAATTTTTAATTTAAAAAAAAAAAAAAAAAAAAAAAAAAAAAAAAAAAAAAGACCATCTGTATAACTTTTCTCGTCTATATATTTGCACAATAATGACAACATCAACATACGTAAAGCCGACGAAATACCTCTTCCAAACAAACAACTAATACCTCTTCCAAACCCCTCCACGCGATCATCATTCTTCAGCTGATCAACACGTCTTCTAGGGTTTTGATTTCGCATGCTCAAATTAATATGGAAATCAACAGTGTGGATTCCAGAGCTGAAGCTGGACAAGGAAGAATAGTCGATACATTAAATTCTAGGGTTTCAACTTTCTCAATCAGCGATGGAACAACTTCCGCAGTTTCAGATTCCCAACAGGTAATCGTTGCGCAATTCATGAATTTCTTGATGTTCGTATTGAACTCTATTCGTTGACGAGTCATCCAATCTTGCTTTCGTTTGTTGTTACTGTGGTTACGAAATATGTGATAAAAAAATCCGACCAACAAAAAACAGATGATGTTTGATTGTTGTCTTTCGATCGATTAACTAAGTTCCAAACCCATATAAACTTTCTTATTCTTTTAGAATATCAAAATTACGTTGAAACCAATAAAGAACACCAGAATTTGAGAGTTCGCTTGGGGTTTCCATAATTTTTTTTCTCCATATTGGCAGGACATTGGAGCACTTAAGAACTGTGAAACTCCAACTTCCGCAAGTGAGCAAACGATTAATGACAAACATTCTGACAATGGCGATGACTTGATAACAAATTTGGAAACCCAACACATGGCTGATACTGAAGGATCACCAGATTATGATGAATCAAGCAAGAATCAGAAGATATTAGGAAAATACTTCTTTTATGATCCACCACTTGCTGAAGAAACCGGGGTCTGGATTCCGGTTTCGGTTCCTCCCATGTCAGAAAGCGATCTCGAAGAATGGAATCGCGGATTCTCCTCAGTCGGTGGAATCTTCCCTGATGAAAACATGGATTGGTTCCATTTTCTTGAAAAAGACAAACAACTCACCATGTGGGATGTAGTAGTCGAAATGCTACTAGCAGCTCGTGGAAAAGTCAACCTTTTATCATCAGGTGACACCGTTTCATGGATTTCAAGAAACCTAATTGACCAAGCCTGGAAAGAAATGGCTCAAACCCTAACCGAGGCTAATTTCGGTAATCTCCAAGAAATTCTCGAAACCCAACCACCCAAATGGCTGCCCGATAGTTCTGCTGCTTCTTGTATGCTATGTAATGTCCGGTTTCACCCCATCATGTGCACCAGACATCACTGTAGATTCTGTGGTGGGATTTTCTGTGGTGAGTGTAGTAAAGGGAGAAGCTTGCTGCCCGTGAAATTTCGGGCAGCAGATATGGAACGAGTGTGTGATGTGTGTTATGTGCGGCTGGAGGCTGTTCAGCCATACTTAATGGATCAAGTGAGCCGGGCAGCTCAGTTACCAACTTATGATGTCACGGATCTGAGCACATTAAGATCTTGGCTGAATTTCCCATGGGGGCAGTCAATGGAGTACGAGATATATAAAGCCACAAACACAATTCAAGGTTATAGCAAGGTAAGATAAACGTTTTAAATAACTAACAATTCATGGGTATTTAATTTTATCAAAAAAAATTTCAGGTTGGTTATTTGAGACCTGAAAAGTCAATTCCTGATGTGGTGTTAAGGCATGCGAAGGGGCTTGCTATACTTACTATAGTGAAAGTTGGTATGATGGTGACTTACAATATTGGAACTGGATTGGTGATTGCGCGTAGGGAAGATGGCTCATGGTCTCCACCTTCTGCTATATCTACTATTGGTGTTGGATGGGGTGCTCAGGCAAGAGACTTTTATTTTATTATTATTATTATTTTTTTTAACTAAATTTAATGTTTATTATTATATTCTTCTTCTGGATTTGTTTTTTGCAGGGTGGAGGTGAATTTGTGGATTTAATAATTGTTTTAAGATCAGAAGAAGCTGTGAAGACTTTCAGCGGTGATGTTCATGTCTCATTTGGAGCCGGTTTAAGTGCAGCGGTTGGTATTACTGGACGAACAGCTGAAGCTAATGTACGCGTTGGAACCTGTGGATATGCTGCGTGTTATACTTACAGCTGTACAAAAGGTCAGGGTTAATTTCGTCTTTATGAAAGTATCCACTGTTTTACTTGCATAACATGGTTAATTTTGCATAAGGGTAAAATGGTGTGCAAATTTACCATCCTTTATTTCTTCACTCCATCTAGTCGAGTTTTTTTTTTTTTTTTTTTTTTTTTTTTTTTTTTTTTTTGTCATGTTGAGAAAGTGTGTAAATTTCAGGGGCATTTGTGGGATGTTCACTGGAAGGAAGCATTGTGACAACACGTACTCGTGAAAATTCGCGATTCTATGGAAAGCAGTTGATAACTTCACAAGAAATTCTACTTGGTTCATTGCCTAAGCCTCCAGCTGCTGCCACTCTTTATCGTGCCCTGGCAGAAATTTACCAGAAATTTGGTCGTTGATTTAATGGTTTCTTTCTAGCATCATTAGAATTTAATTCTGTGCATATAATTCATTAACTTCTTTTATAATAAAAAAAGAAACAAGGGGTCCATTTGAATTGTCAGGTAAATAGGTAATTGTCTTATCAGTGACGCACATGTTTGTACATGATATTACTGGTAAATTTACTGTATATAATAATATTATTTAGTGTTTGTAATATGACCGATTTGTCCTCAAGGTTTCACATTTTATATAATTTGTTTTATTATATATATGGAATTCATATATGAACTATAACATTGAATTCACAATATAACAGTAAATTATTTTGTATATAATCACCACTCTCTTCAAGTATTGCCTAATCAGTTTGATCCCTTTCCACTGAATTTTTTCCGGATTCTACCTACATGAGCGAAATCAGGGTACAGACCATTGCATACAAGTGCATGCATGAGATTTCCAATTTCACTCGAATGTAGAACTTTACTCATGTAATGTCTTTATTTATTTATTTGTAGTTTGTATAGTATTTCGATTAAGTTTAATATGTGATGGCAAAAGTGTTCCAATTGATTTGGACTACTCATGTAATTTCTTTCTTTATTTATTTGTAGTTTGTAAAGTGTTCCAATTGATTTGGACCGATCAAAATGAAATGATTTTAGGATTTTCTCAATGTATTTTGTTGAGAAATATATAACCACCTTGCTTTTCTATCCCTTTGAATCTACATCCTTAAGGTCTACTCAAATTTATCTCTAAAACATTATTTTAGAGGCCATTTTTACTCCAATCAACTTTCAAAAATCATGCTATATTTGTGTTGACTTCTTTTTAACATCAAATATAGAGCCAAATATGAAAGCCTAGGAATCATCACTTTAGAGGTTGGTTGTAATGCAATCACTAAAATGGTGATAAATAATCACCTGGTTGGAGAAACTCTAATATCTTCTTTGCAACTCTCAAATCTTTCATCTCAAACTTATTTTTCCATAATGAACTCAAGTCATTGTCCTAACCATATTTTGGCTGTAGTGACAATATCATTCTATGTATAGCAAGAAATATATGTAAGAACCATGAGACAATCTCGTTGAATAAACACAGTTATAAAATTGACGCCGAATGTAGTTGTGTGAAATCACAAGCTATCAAACATTTTCCATTGTCTTGTAAACTGCTTCAAACCATAGATATATTTATTCAACAAACATAGTGATCTTTCTTTAAATCAATGAACCATTCTGGATTGAACATATAAATCTTCTCATCTAAACTGTTGTGAAGAATTGTAGGATTTACATCAAGTTGATCAAGCTCCAGATCAATGGCACTCACCATAGCTAGTAGAATTGCATCATTTTGTGCTTCACAACAGATGCAAAATACCTCGTGATATTCGATTTCTTCTTTTTGGAGAACCCTTTTGCCACCAATCTTGCTTTGAACCTTGTTGGTTCAACTCCAAGAAGTCCTTCCCTTTTCTTAAAGACTAAATTGTTCATACTGGTTTTGCTCATTCTGTTAATGAGACAAGAACCCATGTTTCATTCTTCTCCAATGATTTTTAGTTCTTCATGTATCGTCATTAACCAGTTTTTTGCTTCTTTACTCCCTATAACCTCTTCATAAGATCAAGGCTTGTCAGTATCAATGTCTTTTCTAATCGCTAGTCCATATGCTACAGAACCAATGTCACATGAATTGGCACATCCAACATATCTAGCGGGTTTTTGAATGTCCCATTTTTGTCTTCTTTTCACCATAGTTTCTACGACATATTCCCTCTTAAAATAAAAAATTACCAGACTTTTGTTCGTTGGGTTGTTCTTGGGATTCTTCTAGCGAGACTGATTTTCACAAAGTTGTTCTTCGTTTACCACAAATCTATATTGTGTTTGAGTTACGAACTCCGCCTTATGGATAGTTGTCACACCCCAAAACCGAGAATGGCGGAATACGTTCTGGGGTGGAGGACGTCATGTACAGTATCATAACAATGTATAATAGTAAGGACAAGCAACAACATCCATTGCATTAGTATAATAATTGTAATACAAACGTGTTCTGTAAAAATTGATAGACACCAAAAGTATAATCAAAATAAAAGATGAGTCTTTTATATACTCCATCTTCTCAAAAGCTGCATCTGTATCTACCTACTGATGACCTGAGAATACAAGTTATTTTAAAAACGAGTATCAGCATAAAGCTGGTGAGTTCATAAGTATTTAGTGTCATTGCTTGCATAAAAAGTGTTTGTGTGACAATAGTCAAATACGGGTCAAGTCAAAGTCAAACAAAGTCAATAAGTTAAACCGGACGACTCAATTAACTCTTACGTATTAGGGTTTACGTGGTGTATTTACTAAACAATTCGCTATTTTAATGAGAAAGCATCATTTGAAAAATCCATGTGATTGAATTCTTCCTAAGCCTTAAATGCGGTAAACAGTGAACCAAAGCGATAAAACACAAATCCACACTCATAGGGAGTGTGTAAGACATTAAAACACGGCTTAATGGGGTTTACGGACCTTGCATTGCGAAGTCGGACACTCAAAAAGGGCACAAACGAAACCTCTCCCAATCGTTTTCACTCTATCTCTTTCTATTTGAGATCTCTCCCAAATCTCTCTCAATGGCTCTCGTAACTTTTTGAAGTCATTCGGGTCATTCCGACCTTTAACCGGGTCAAAAACCACTTAAAATGGGGTTAGAACGAGTAAAATACCCTAAAGGACCCGAAAACCCTTTATAGGGCCGAAGCCTCTTATGGCCGAACCCCTTGGACCAAAAGCAGCAAGAACCGAAAACTCCTGGTCAGACCCGAAGGCTGCTGAACTGAACACCCCTGCTGAACCAAACACCCCTGCTGAACCGAACATCTTCCCGGAAGCGAAATCCCCCTCTCAGGACCGAACCTCGCAGACCGAACCGCCTTTTCGGGCCCGAACCTCGCACACGCCCGAACCTGAAGTTCCTGTTCATCTCGGTCTATTTCGCTTCTGACGCCTTCGGACCGAACTGCTTCGCTTCTCGTTGTTTCGCCTCTTACTGATACGCTTCGTTTCGCCTCTCGCCCAGCCTCAGGAGGACCGAACCTCCGGCTAGGACCGAGAGGTCTCGCTGGAAGACCAAATCTTTCCGGTTTTCGACTACGACTTCATTTTAGCTACGTTTTTTTATCATTTTAACGCAAGATTTTCACCCAAAACTTTATTTTATCAATTAAAACCCCATAATTCATTAATTCCCATGTTTTTGGTGCAAATCTTATCCAAGAAATGAGTGGGTGAAGTACAAAGGTTGAGTGTTAACTTTACTTTACCTTATGACACAAGCAACCACCCCCATACCCACTCTATGACCAGCCACACCTCCCCACCTTACCTAGGTCACTTCAATGTCCTTTCCACTCATTTACCAGCCCTCCATACCTTCTTAGAGCTAGAACAACCCATCCTCTCTCCTCACTTCTTTCATTTGCTCTCATTTCACCAAAGATACAACACAACTTTTCTCTCAAACTTTTTCTCTCTATTTCAAGACTCCAAGGCTGATCTTCAAGCTTTATTCTCCTCTTGGTAAGTATAATTCATCTTCCTTGTGAATATTGCACTTCATTCTACTCAAATCATTGATTGCTTACACAAACTCCATCACTTTGATGCTAGATTCTCGAAAATCTTCAAGCATCTTCAAGTGTTCTTGAGTTGATCACTTCCATTTTTCAACAATCATCTACTGAATTCACATAGGGTGAGTTCATACCCCTACATTTTCATATTTTCTTATGTTTTAAGGGGGAGAATACAAGTCAAATCATCAAGAACACAACTAAATAATTCTAACAGCTTACATCAGAAAAGTTGGACTCCATTCACAGACTGTTTTGGTCAACTAAATCATTTTTGTTTTCTAAAATGTACAAGGTTCAAGTATTTCAAGTTCTTAGCTTTAAAATGGCTACTTGCACATCTCCATACGATTTTTCTACAATTTATGGTGATTTTTGCAAAACTGCCTATCATTTCAAGAACCAAATCGGACCAGTCTGTGTTTATGGATGTTTTCACTTAAGTTGGAGGTCACTAAAAATCATGGAAAAATTTATGAACAAACTAGACTCATTAACCAAACTCAAAGAATTTACGGATTTTGAGTTGGATCTTTTATTAAGTTTTTATAAATTTTCTAATAACAGTGATTGAAGCTGTTACAAGTAGAAAAATGCTAAAATATTATTATTACCTTGTATCATGTTGAGCAAGGTATATATCCTTATGTGAATGTATGTTATTACAAAAGAACAATATTTTATCTTGGTGTATGAACATGAAACTGTTAATAAATGGATTTTTATATAGATATACATATGAGATATAAAGGATAACACGATTGTTATAATCAAAGTACATCCGTTTTACTCAAACAATTGAACGAACTACGTTGAATATAGAGTACGTACATTACCATTACTACCCTTATTTTTTTTTTTTGATAAACTGTAATAGGTATGGTTTATGATACACTACATAACCCACTCATACAAGATTTGTACATATATACGATAAGGAATTTTTATTACGTTACATGTAAATTCGTTAAGGACTTTGTGAGACATTCGCTTCACACTTACCAATAAGTCATGTATTGTAACCAGAGTCTCCTGGAGGGAGAGCGTGATAGTTGTATATAGATCTATATTGGGTTTGACAAACCCACACCTTAACTGCATGCAACAGTTAGACCGGCAGGTCTGGGGTGAAAAATGTCATAAACAGTTCCGACGCCTGAAGAATGTCGTTTCAGGCCAACTAGGTCATAGCATGGTTATAATAAACTCACAGAAAGTATTAACAAACATAAGAATTTACGGGAATTTCATTTAATTCAAACGTGTTTATGTCGATTTAAACACATATCATTTTCTATTAGTAAGAGAGGTTATTTATACATTTTGGTCTTCAGTTATAAGACTACATTACACAGATTTTAAGGAAAATATCGGATTTTTCTGAAACAAATGTGACATTTACAAGAGAAAGACTTTTATAAGGTTCGAAAACAAAAACTTATGAACTCACCAACCTTTGTGTTGACACTTTTTCAAACAACTTGTATTCTCAGGAAATCACTAAACAGGTACCAAAGTGCATTTTGAGGATGGGACGTTAAGGCATCAACATATCACGTTTTGTTAACATATTGTAATTGACTTGGAAACACGTAACTCATACAATGATGTAACTCTTTCAATTATATATATATATATATATATATATATATATATATATATATATATATATATATATATATATATTGGTTGTGTTTGCTTAAATTACTATTGCAATTGTGGTTATGATACTATACATGAAGTCCTCCACCCCCGGACGTTTCCGCCATCCTTGGGTTTGGGGGTGTGACAGATTGGTATCAGAGCACGGTTTATAGTGAATTAAGTATGTCAAACTACATAAGATATACAAACTATGAACACATTTGGGACTAAAAGTCTCTGATTCTTAAAACATTTTAACGGGTTATACTT